TGTAGAGACAAAGTCTCACCAAGTTGCCCAGGCTGATCTCAAACTCCTGGCTCAGTCAATCCTCTGGCCTCCACCTCCCAGAGTGCTGGGATACAGGTGTGAGCCACCGCGCCTGGTGCTTATCTTGCAGACATGCCTCCACATGGCTCCCAGAGGGTTTGGGGGTGGTTATATTATCTTAGTTTGTTCCTACTCCACGCCTGGGTGTGGGTATTTGTACCACACAACTCCCCCAAACCCTTTACAGATGAGGAAACTAAGGCTCAGAGAGGGCAAGTCACCATCTCAAAGTTGCATAGCTACACCGCAGGCTGTGACTCTGGGCTTCCCCAGTTTCAGAGCCCAGGGCTCTCCCGTATCCTGCATGAGGCCTCGGTCCCCACTGGCTTCTCCTCTCAGCTCTGTCCTCCCTTCCCCAGAACACCCTCCCCACACCTGGCCTTTGGTTTTCTTTCCTCCCCACCCTCCACTGTCCTTCCAGAAAAGGGGCCCAACCGGAAGGCCAGTTCATGTTAGGAAATCCCAGCCACGTGAGCAGCTGAGCCAGGGATTCTGAGCAGCGGGTGGCTTTAGGAGAAACTGAAACTTGGCTCTTTGGGGGCGGAGTGGTCACTGGGGCTTTAAAGAGCCACCACTTCCTTCGGTTCTCAGAGGTCACTGGGAAGTCACCGCTGCTGCGGCCCTGCCTCTGCTCCCTCGCCCGAGCCATGCACCTTTGCGGGGGAGGTGGGCTGCTGCCCTGGACAGTGAGTACAGGGCACCGGGGGTGGGGGAGAAGAAGGGGACACGCCTAAGAGTCCCCAGTGCCCGGGCAGTGAGGAGCTCCCCATTCCCGCTCTGCGCCCATGAGCTGTGTGATCAAGGCTGCACACGCCCCTCCGTGGTCTGTCCTCCCTGAAGTCAGGTGACTGGAATGAGGCCTTTCCAGCTCTCACGTTGCAGACCCAGCTTCTAGTTTAGAACTTGACTTCTGTCTACCTGATCCACCAGTTCTGCCTTCACCGACCTCAAGGGAGCCTCCTCATCTCTCTCCAAATTCCCTGGGACCTGGTTTCCCTCGGAGGCCCTGCCCTTCTTGCAGGATCCAGATGCCAGAGGCCTCCCCTGTCGTTTGCTGTGGGTCCACCCTCAGTCTTGAGTCTCCCCGGGGCCCAGTGTCTAACGTGAGCCTGAGGAGACACGGCCTCCAGGAGCACAGGCGAGGACGGAGTTGTGACAGGAACCTAGCAGCCTTCAGGGTCCTCCTCCAGGGTGACCGCTATATCGCCTGAGGTCTTAACACTCAAAACATGCCCTCCAGAGTGACCTGGGAGAGGGATGAGCTGTGAGATCTCCAATGGTTCCTCTTGTTCTGACTTTCTGCAGCTCTGGGCATTTGGATTAAAATATTTCATCTAAGTTTCTTCCTCCTCAGCCTTCCGCCTCAGCCTTCCGCCTCAGCATTCCAAGTAGCTGGAACTACAGGCACGCACCACCTCGCCCAGCTAATTTTTCTTGATTTATTGTAGAGACGTTAAATTTGCCCAGGCTGGTCTCGAACCCGTGGGCTCAGGCAATCCTCTCACCTCGCCCTCCCAAAGTGCTGGGATGATAGGCGTGAGCCACTGCACCTGGCCTTTTTTTTTTTTTTGAGTTGGAGTCTCACTCTGTCGCCCAGACTGGAGTGCAGTGGCCGCTCCTGGCCACCGCAGCCTCGACCCACTGGGCTCCGGCGATCCTTCTGCCTCAGCCTTCCGAGTAGCCGGAATTACAGGCATGCGCTACCACGCCCAGCTGATTTTTTGATTTATTGTAGAGATGAGGTCTCGCCTGCCCAGGCGGGTCTCGAACCCGCGGGCTCAGGCAATCTACTCACCTCAGCCTCCCAAAGGCGTGGGATTACAGGCTGAGCCACCGAGCCCAGCTTTTTAAAAAATTTTTAAGACAGAGTCTTGCTCTGTTGCCCAGGCTGGAGTGCAGGGGTGCAATCATAGCTCACTACAGCCTCTAACTCCCAGCTCAAGTGATCTTCCCACCTCATCTCCTGTGTAGCTGGAACTACAGCCATGCTGTAAACACACTGGCTAGTTTATTTTATTTTTTTGTAAGACAGGGTCTTGCTGTGTTGCCCTGACTGGTCTTGAACTCCTGGCCTCAAGTGATCTCCCTATGGCTCTGAGCTGCCTGCTTTATGGGCTTTTCTCTTCCACTCCTCACAGCAGCCCAGGAGGAAGGCACTATGATGCCTCCGTTGCAAGGATGAGGCGACTGGGGACAAATGAGTGATGGCTTAAAAGACTGTGTGGTTGGAAGTCAGTTCTGTCGGGGTTTAAATCCCAGGCACCCCAGCTTTTTGTGAGCAGGACACAGGGGTAAGACTGGCATTATGATGAGGTGTACAGCACCTGCCATGGGGGGTATGGGCGCGGAAGGAGCAAGAGGGGCTTGGAGTCTCACTCTGTTGCCCAGGCTGGAGTGCAGTGGCATGCTCACGGCCACCGCAGCCTCGACCTGCTGGGCTCAGGCTATCCTTCTGCGTCAGCCTTCTACGTAGCCAAAACCACAGGTGCTCACCACCATGCCCGGCTAATTTTTTGATTTATTGTAGAAATGAGGTCTCACCATGTTGCCCAGGCTGGTCTTGAACCCCTGAGCTCAGGCAATCCTCTGGCTTCCGCCTCCCAAAGTGCTAGGATTACAGGCGTGAGTCACCACATTCAGCTAAGATGGGCTTCTAGGAGAATGGGAACCCTCGGGTACTTGACTCAAGGGGAAGGACTTGGCTTTACAAATGGCTGTCCAGGCCGGGCACAGTGGCTCACGCCTTTAATCCCAGAACTTTGGGAGGCTGAGATGAGAGGACTGCCTGGGCCCACGGATCTGAGACCAACCTGGGCAACTTGCTGAGACCTCGTCTCTACAATAAATCAAAAAATTGGGCCGAGCATGGTAGCTCACACCTATAATCCTTAGGAGGCCGAGGTGAGAGAATTGTCTGAGTCCACGGGTTTGAGATCAACCTGGGCAACTCGGTGAGACCTCATCTCTACAATAAATCAAGAAAAATTAGCTGGGCGTGGTGGCGTGTGCCTGTAGTTCCAGCTGCTTGGAAGGCTGAGGCAGAACGATTGCCTGAGTCCAGCAGGTCTAGGCTGTGGAGGCCGTGAGCATGCCACTGCACTCCAGCCTGGGCGACAAAGTGAGACTTCAACTAAAAAAAAAAAAAGACAAATGGCTGTCCAGGACAGAAGACGCAAGTCTCTGCCGGGGTCCTTGAGCCCTCTGCCTGGTTCCCTGTAGGAACCCAAGGAGCATCAGAGGCAGCTGAAGAAGAAACAGAAGAACCGTGTGGCCGCACAGCGTAGCCGACAGAAACACACAGACAAGGCGGACGCCCTGCACCAGGTGGGGCCACCTTCTTTTCCTGTCCCTGACCCCACTTATCTGACCTGGCCACCTCCTCTCCACTCACCTGTGAGCACATCTCTCCTAAACAGCTCTATTTTTCCAGGTCACCTGAGCTTGGAAGGGAGTAGGGCTCCTGGGGCTGAGACTGGAGATTTCTGGGTGTTGAGTTGGAAACCATGTGCCAGGTACCCAAAACGTGGAGAACCCAACAGCGGTCAACTGAGACACTTGTTAAAATGCTGATTCTAGGCCAGGCATAGTGACTCATGCCCATAATCCTGACTTTGGGAGGTCGAGGTGGGAGGATCACTTGAGCCCAGGAGTTCGAGACCAGCCTAGGCAACATAGTGAGACCCCCGTCTCTATAAAGAATAAAAAAATTAGCCAGGCATAGTTGCACACGCCTGTAGTTCCAGCTACTTGGGAAGGTGAGGCAGGAGGATCGCCTCCAGCAGGATGTAGAAGCTGCAGTGAGCTATGATGGTGCTACTGCACTCCAGCCTGGATGACAGAGTGAGACCCTGACTTAAAAAAAAAAAAGGAAGCAGATTCTTCCTTCCCAGCCAGGTCCAACCTCATGAAACCTGATGGGGTCCAAGAAACTGCATTGTGATTGATCCCTCTGGGGTCAGAGTTCAGGGTAACCATGACCACACTAAATAATCTGGTGCAGGATGGGCCGGATTTCCAGACCCATCTGCCAGAAACTAAGTGGCTTAAACTACAGGCATTTATTTCTCACAGCTCTGGGCCAGGCACGGTGGCTCATGCCTATAATCCCAGCACTTTGGGAGGCCGAGGCGGGAGAATTGCTTGAGTCCAGGAGTTTGAGACCAGCCTGGGCAACATAGCAAGATCTTACCTCTACAAAAAAAAAATTAGCTGGGCTCAGTGGCTCAGCCTGTAATTCCGCGCCTTTGGGAGGCTGAGGTGAGTGAATTGCCTGAGCCCGCAGGTTCGAGACCCGCCTGGGCAA